TATAACTATGATAACAAAACAAGAAAGGCAAAATTGACGGCTTTCTGTAATCCGATGAAAGAGAACTTGATAAACATAGAAATCATTTGCAGATTGATGAGTTTTACTATAACTATAATAACGAAAAACAATGACCAAAATTGACTGTTTTCTGCAAGCTCATGAAAAAGAACTTGATAAACGTAGAAATTATTTGCTCATTGATGTGTTTGGCTATAACCATGATAACAAAACAAGAGAACCAAGAATTAACGGTTTTCTATAGTCTAATGAAAGAGATCTTGATAAACCTAGAAATCGTTTGCTGATTGATGAGTTTGGCTATAACAACTATAACGAAAAAGGAGCAAAACTGACGGTTTTCTGCAGGATCACGAAAAAACTATTGACAAACGTATAAATCATTTACTGATCATGAGTTTCGCTATAACCATGATAACAAAAAAAATGAGCGAAACTAACGGTTTTTTTACAGCATAATGAAACACCTATTGTTAAACGTATAAATTATTTTCTGATTTAGGAGTTTATAACCATGATAAAAAAACAAGAAGAGCAAAAATGATGGTTTTATGCAGCCTCATGAAAAAGCTCTTGATAAACGTAGAAATTGTTTGTTGATGATGAGTTTGGCTATAACCAGGATACCAAAAAAAGAGAGCAAATTTGACGGTTTTCTCCTATTTGATGAAAGAACTCTTGATAAATGTATAAATCATTTGCTAATTGAAGAGTTTTGCTATAACAATTATAACGGAAAATGGGTAAAATTGACAGTTTTCTGCAATTTTATAAAAATGCCCTTGATATATATAAATATCATTTGCTGATTGATGAGTTTGGCTATAACCATGATTAAAAAAAAAAGTTGATGGGTTTCTACACTGTAATGAAAGAGCCCTTGATAAACGTAAATATTATTTGCTCATTGATAAGTGTGGCTATAACCATGATAACAAAACAAGAGAGACAAAATTGACGGCTTTCTACAATCCGATGAAAGAGAAGTTGATAAACATAGAAATCATTTGCAGATTGATGAGTTTGACTATAACTATAATAACAAAAACAATGAACAAAATTGACGGTTTTCTACAAGTTCATAAAAAAGAACTTTATAAACGTAGAAATTATTTGCTCATTGATGTGTTTGGCTATAATCATGATAACAAAACAAGAGAACCAGAATTGACGGCTTTCTATTGTTTAATGAAAGATATCTTGATAAACCTAAAAATCGTTTGCTGATTGATGAGTTTGACTATAACAATGATAACGAAAAAGGAGCAAAATTGACGGTTTTCTGCAGGCTCACGAA